CACCTCTAAACCTAAACCAACCCTAAACCAACCCTAAATCAACATAAATCAACCTAAATCAACCCTGAACCAACCCTAAACTAACCCTAAATACACCCTCAATATACCCTAAACCAATTCTAAACCAACCGTAAACCACCACAACCCAACCACAGGACCACAACCACAGGGGGGGGGGGTACTTGTCTGACCCATGACCATTGCTTGGAAGGGCGGGGTGGTTGCAAGTATTTGGCTCAAATAGCTCAGTCTGCAAGTTCGCCAAGTGCATACTTGCAAGTTTGCGAAGGTATACCTTAGCACAGTTGTAAATCACACATCCTCTGCATACTTTGTTCCCAATTTACTATATTGTTTGGAGGCATTTGCATTTAGATACGATCTGTTGAGTGTAACTTAGCGCGGTTGCAAGTTCACACGAAGTACTTACAGCCAAGTATGCTAAGTAGTTGGGTTTAACATTTGCTTACTTAGCTATGTTCGCTAAGTACATTCTAGGCTTGTTTTGGGGTGGTCACACATGCAGTGTTTTTTGAAAAAAACACATGCCAACCACCGCTGGAAAACCATTTTTGTTTTGCATCACCCATGGGCGCTCAGCCGTTTTTTTGCGCTTTGAGCAAGGAACGACCTCCCTAGTTTTGGTTTTGGGGGCCTTTTATAGGGAAAAACACATCTGTGTATACCCTCAAACGGTTGCTTTACATTTGCAAAAGGGGGTGATGTGATGCAACTCCGCCATAAATATCATTACTTCCCGGTGTTGTATAAAGGGGATCCATGCGTTTTACTTTCTATATACTGGGCATGGACGTTTTAGAATCGCAGGGCATTGGCCAGAGAGATGTAGCAGGTTTGGGGTCTCAACCCCTAAACCATATAAAAGGGGCCCAGTTTTCGAGGGTTATATATAAATATAAACATGTATATATGTATATATATATATATATTTATATTTATATATATTTATACTTAACCCCGTTGCTGCCCTCGGCACCGGCTATACAGGTTTGCCAAGGTGGCGTGGCCCGCGCGCCGGCCAGCCAGCTGCGGCGCCAAGCAGGCCTGCAAACGGGCATGCCGCAGGGGGGTGTTTGCCATATTTGGGAATTCCTTTTTGTTGTGCATTTTGCATGGGATCTGGTCAAAGGGAAAGAAACAAAAAGGACATTAGAAGGACTATTTATATATATATCTAGCTGGTTATAGTTTGTGATGCTGACACCTATATTTGAGATGGACAGGGTTGGTTGCAAAATGGAAGAGTGCTTCAGAAAAGGCTATAGTTATGTTTGGGAAAACTCATGTTCTAGATATATGTTTAAACACAAGGCGTGGGAGCCCAGTTTCACAGGTTGGATCACCAAATTAAAAAGCACCTAATAACGGCAAGGAACATATCCAGTTTTATTTTTGGAGCAAGGGGCCCAAGATGTAACTATAGAAGCAGTAAGAAAACACTTGCTATGGTTGTGGCTTCAGGGTGTTATGTCTCATCCATCACGCAAAGAACAGCCCTCCTTATAAAGAATGAATTTGGGGGATGTTTTCAACAAGTTATGTTTTCAGGCCTTTTCAAGGCCAGCCCCAAACCAACCCTCGAATTTGGGGGATGGTTTCAACAAGTTATGTTTTCAGGCCTTTTCAAGGCCAGCCCCAAACCAACCCTCGAATTTGGGGGATGGTTTCAACAAGTTATGTTTTCAGGCCTTTTCAAGGCCAGCCCCAAACCAACCCTCGAATTTGGGGGATGGTTTCAACAAGTTATGTTTTCAGGCCTTTTCAAGGCCAGCCCCAAACCAACCCTCGAATTTGGGGGATGGTTTCAACAAGTTATGTTTTCAGGCCTTTTCAAGGCCAGCCCCAAACCAACCCTCGAATTTGAGTATACATTGTTTGGGATGCATGCATCAACCAGTGGTGTTTTTGAGGCACTTGAAGGCCAGCCCCAAACCAACCCCCGAATTTGAGGCATGTTTTCAATCGGTTGTGTTTTTGAGGCCCTTCAAGGCCAGCCCCAAACCAACCCCCCGAACAAGAAGTTGGAGGTGACGATTGCCAGTGACATTCAGTTTGAGCGCAGGGCTGAAGCTCGCGCTTGGATGCAGGGCAGAGAGCTCGCATCTTGCAAGAATCTTGGCTCGCGAGGGCTTGTGGTGTACAGAGTGGCCTCCTTGCTGCGATGCCTCTCAACACGGAGGTCTTGGATGAGTTGGATGTGCTCATCCAGCAGGCAGAGAAGAAAGGTATAGTCAAGGGCGCGCAGCAAATCATGGGCTACCTGGCGAAGACTGGCTTGATGGTGTCGCAGCAGATACCTGCAGAACAGGTGGGGTGTCACCCCCTGAATCGTGACGGGTACGGGGTCAACCCCAGAGATGTTCACAGCTTGGTGTCTGGAATTGCCTCTGTGGGCTTTGACGCAGGGCAAACACACCCCATCTGCACGGAGATCTTGCCAAGTGACACGGAGTTGGTCAGCTTTAACCAGGCACTGGCA